CCTACGACGCAGTGCAGGGCTGACTCTGTAGCTCTTCCTGGTGAGTGTACGTGTTTGTTATGGTGCAACGGATGCCGTGTTAGCGCCATATTATCTCTTGTATATCTATCGCACCATCTTTCAAGGCAAAAGACGTCAAGCTGTTTGGACGATATAATTTAGGTGGTTTTGCCAGATTTGGGGATAAAAACAATTTTTATCTCCCTCTATTGTTTACGTATGTGTCTGATAGAGATACAGCCCGTACATTATTTTCTCACTAGGTAGATAACTATATCATCCAGTCTCCGCATTTCAGGAGAACTGGTGTTATGTCGTCCAATCCTGGTGAAAATGATATCTAAAATATCTTTCTTATATATCCGTAGGTTCAGTGTTACTTTGTTCTTCCTTACCTCATTTAACAGTTTGCCCAACTGAGATTTCTGCTTTGCCAGCGACATGCGCTACCAAGGATGGTTATAGGGTGCCTTAGCGGTTCTCCAGAGGACACTCTAGAACCGCTCAGTAAGTCGGTAGGACGCGAGAGACGTCCCCTAATACAGCGTATCAATTCAGTTAAACTCGGGAATTCTCTGTAACAAGAGTAAAAGTAATTTTTGATGAGTGCCCAACAAATTCTCCAAAAATAGAAAACTATAAAATTCAAGTGCTACAGACATAAGAAAAGATACTGTCAAACTTATATCATATCCGTAGCTTCCACTCTTACCTCTTTCTGATTTTCTCCTACTATTTACACTCATATTTATAGCTATCGCCGTTGTAAATTCTGACCCAATAAGCGATTTTTCTTACAACTTACAACTCATAAGCTTTTTGTAATTTAACGTTCGGTTGCGATATCAGCTCTCCTTCCTCTTATTTTAATCCCAATGACCCGCTTCATTTTCTCATCTTCAATACATGTAATGCAGGATAAATATTAATTTACTTTATTCACCTACATCAGACCTTCCAAATTTTCTGGGTGTTCCTGTAAAGAGCATGTTAGAACTTGCACACAGGGGGTCACTTGGTTTGACTCGTCCCTGCATCATATATTGTTTCCAAAGAAAATAGTACGACAATTGAACATGAGTCTCATTGTCTACTACCAATCAGTGGTTGATTATAATAGTCTTGTCTTTACCAAGTAATGTCTAAAAACTGATTGAAGTCAGGCATTAGGTTTAAATCGGTGTTCTTTAAGGGTTCTTTTAAGAGTAATATAATTTTAACACACCCAACAAATTACAATCAAGCTGTAGGGGGTGCCTTTTATCATCTTTCAGCAAGCATACACGCTCAGATTCCAGTTCCCCGCGCTATACCAAGATCTTATGCTATGTGAAATGGCGTGCGATCACTACATCTACCACAAAACACCTGTGTAGCTAGCAAATCAAAATTGAAATTTTGTAATCTCTCCTCGCTATACATCCGGCATCTGGTAGAAGATAGAGTCATAATATTGGCTTGAAATTTCTCACATCGAGCGAGGCTCGGTGGGCTCGACCAACTTCCGAAAATTCCAAACAATCTGTTACACAAATTTTGATTAACACCTGAAACAAATCTTGGCCACGAATAGAAAAATCTGACGAAGGCGCTTTCTGAGTCGCACAAAGGAATCGAATAAACACACAATTAATTGATAAACAATGACAAAAATTTATTCCAAAACACCAGAAACAATTAAAACAAGATCCCTGAAAGAAAGAAGAGCTTACAACTCTTGTTTGGAGATGATACCCCCCACGCATATGGTCGATAATTAAAAATAAAAAATCTTTTATTACTTACAGTTTTTTTTCTCTATTAATCTAAATAATCTGGTCGTAAAAGGTTTGCAATATTCAGGCGCACTTATTTTTTTTTATTTTGCCTCTATTTTTGAGTGGGGGGGGGGGGTTCAGCCAAGGCTGCTGTACCAACCCAACCCACTATACATTTACAAATATCCATGCCCGAACCCGGATTCGAACCAGAGACCCTTAGCACCACAGCCCAGCTTTAACTGAACTGCGCCATACAAGCCGGCTTATCAAAAACACTCGCTGAACGCTTCGGGAAACTTAACTTTTTCTTTATTAAACTGCACTCAATGACTCGAACTGGTAAATAAGATGAAAAAATTTTCGGTGGCTGCTCGGGCGGTGGAAACTTTTAACTTTCACTAAGCAGGCAACTGCTTTGTTTAGTCACACTCGAATTAACAGTTTTTTTTTAAAACTTTCCTCGAACTTCAACTACTTCGCTTGACGATATCTTAAATCTTTTATTAAAATTGCCTACTACTGCACACTTGATTTCGAAACCGAGGAAGTGCGTCTTTAACAAAACAACTAGAGCGACACTCCTGAGATTTAGCGTAAACAAATTTACACGCTCTTTTTACCCTTGCGAAAAACAAACAGCTGGCAGCAGTCGCGGCTTAGTTTTTTTTGTTATTTTCAGTATTTTAGGAAACACCACTTCCACGACTAAATAAAATCGTACGTCAAGAATTTTCAAATCAACCGCCAATCACATTTAGACTTGATACCACCAGCTTCCAAGGAACGCGTCCCAACTTATGCGGAAAATAACGCGCAATTCTTCGAAACATCTCATCTGTTGACAGCGCTAAGCACACGTGCGTCAGGTAATTAAACTTCGTCCGACAAAACTCAGAAACGACCTCACAGTTTCCCGTTTTGCAATTAAATGTACAAATCTAAATAAACAATGTTTCAAAAGCGATAAAATCTAAACAAAAACCACGCATTTACAAATTTTGAAAATTGAAAAACAACTTTGAGATACAAATTCAAATACAATAAACCGATACAACGAAATATCGAAGGATCCTCAGTATTACAATCACTTTTAACGATAATTTATTTTAATCTTACAAAATACATCAAATTCATGTCTTGGGCATTGAGATAATGCTCTTAATCTTGTTCCCAATGATCTTTGTGCATAAATAACGATTTTGACATGTTTTGATCAAAATCCATGTGGCCTCAGAAAAATAATTTAACATCTTTGAATCACACACATGCGGTTATCAAATGTACACGTGATGTACTCTTTCAGCATCAAGATAATGCGTTTGAAACCTTTTAAAACTCTAAATTCATGTATAAAGTATAATTTTGGCTACATTTTGCTCTAAAACTTTCGACCTATACCACAGAGAAGAGTTAGCGTCAATAGCGTCCGTCCTTAATGCCCAAAGTACCCGTACACCAAATTTCAACACAATCGGCCACTTTTAAAAAGAGTTAGAGCGCACACGGACGGACGGACGGACGGACGGACGACAATAAAAAACTATAAAGGACCTGAGGATCCTTAATAAACCAACTTTATGCTTATTTGTAAATAATCCCTAAGACTTATAAATGAAACATTCTCATATACAGGGTGTTCCGTCATTAGATGTTTCTGTTCATCATTAAAAAATCGAGGCAAAAGGTAAAAATCTAAATATCGGATCTCATTCAATATCAATTATCCATTAAGTTATGATGAGCCCAGCGGCGTGTGAAGGTTTAATATATAGCACTATTTTTTATTTGACAGATCTTCCTTAGCTTTGTAAAACAATTTTAATAGAATATTAAAGGATATCATGCATGATACACAAGTACAGTATACAGGGTGGTTTATTGCCGTGTGCAATCCAGCGTTACAATGTTGGTTACATGAAAAAATGTGTCTATGCAGCTGTAGCGGAATTCAATCATATACATTTCAAAGAATAGGCGACTAGCGTATTTTATTATAAAAGATGCAAGCAAGGTTAATTAGCATCTCGTATATTACTATATCTTGCTCGTAATGACGAAACATGCTCAACTTGTGGCTTTCACCAATTAAGGCAAATTTGGGAATCATCCCGAATTAATTATTTACTGTTGCATTAATTCCTTCAAAAGAAGGCATAAAGTGGCGGCAGAGGGAACTTTGGGGAATATGTTAACTATTTTTATTCAAATTCAACAATTATCGTAACTTCCATGCAGTATTATTCTTGTGATCGGTTTTTGTTTTAATCGTATCTATAAATCTGCAAGCCATCACGGGGAAGTAAAGTTATCCCGCCTTAATAAAAGGTTGAATAATTTCGAAACGGTATCTTATTTCAGAACATTTATAAACAAGCAGAAACAAGGCATTTTGTCAACAGGTCCATAAAAATGTACACTTACAGGCCTTGATTACACCTCGGCCTGCAAATTTACTCCTACTCGTAAATACATTTTCTGATCTTGGAATTTTACACAAGTGTCCTTTTCGACATATCTCTATTCCAATATTACCTAAACCTGAAATACAAGTGAATTATACAGATCACTGTAAATATAGAATCAATAATTTGTAACATCCGGGGAAATGATTTAAATGAAAACAGTTTCTTACTGTACAAAACCCGCACGATCCCATCTACAACAAGCGACAACCGAATATTCACAGGATGCAGAAACCATCCTAAGAGATCGGCTGGTTTGTGTCAAAAGCAACAAATGCTTTCCAGATTTATTTTTCGGAAAATTTTGATTCGGGTTAATAATATATAAATTGTGATGTAGGGGGAGTAAAAGTATAAAAAGAGTTGCAGTCGATTCCAATACTGCCGAGAGAACCGCTGCAATGTAATATCCTGTTTATTGAACTGATGTAAATTTTAAAGCAAATATTTTAACGGTAATCGCTAGAAAGTTTAGATTCATCTAGAAAAAAATGAGTACATCAGTTAATGGATACCGCGCTCGTCCAATTTAAAATTAGATCTGGAATTTGTATGCTTTGATGTAATTGAAGTGGAATATTGAAATATTTCACCATGATATCACTGACGTATACGCTTATTTGTTTTGGTTTCGCATATAGTCTAGTATTCGCTCGATCTTTGAATTTAATTAAATTATCTGCACGATTCATTCGTTTGGAATGTATTATGACCCTCATCTGTTATTAAATTTCAGTTGTTATTATTTCCCAGATTGTATTACAGATATTTGTTTTAGGGTGTGCACGAGTTAGGAGTTAGACTACCCCTACAATCTTACTCAGGAGGTCATGCGGTGTTCATGTACAGTACAGCGGCAGATGGAAATGTTACGCTACAGCTACGGGAATCCGACGACCTGGATAGGTCGGGTTTAGCAGCAATGCTGGCGCGATTACAAGATGATGCTACTTTTTCTATTTCATATCAAGATAGTGATATCTTGTCGGATGGAAGTATAGACGTTCTTTTAGGAACTGGGACTGGAACTTTACAGGGATCAGGTTAGATTCTATACTTTATTTATACGCTTTTACTTGTGTTCTCTCAACGCCATTATTCTTATTACTTTCCCGCTTGAAACACCTTTTCATACGACATATTTCAAGTTACTTTTTAGCATTCTTTTCTTTTACTAGTGAAGCACTTACCAATCGTTGTAATGCACGAGACATTCACGTCGTTTCCGTTTCGCGAACACAGGAACACCACGGGAGAGTAGCACAAATTTAGTAACATATAACGTGTCGTAGACCTACTCAAACAACAAAATCAACAGTCACTGCACACACTTCAATTCACAAAAAAATAGTGTAAATGTCAAAATTAACATTCTTCTTTTACTTTCAGTGGCTAGCGCGTCATGCATTCAAAGAGATTCTATCAATTATACAAGTAAGCTCGATCATTTAGATAATTACACAAATTCTACGCGTAAAAAGTAAACGCGTTCATAGCATGGACTTGTAACAGAAACAATGCACGTAATGAACCTTAATAATAAAGCAATCTATTAAAGCGAAATCGTTTAATCGAATCGGATACTGAGAAGTAATCATATTCCTGTCATCACAATATTCGGGAATCAATCCCTTCCTTCACACGTTTCGTAAACTCAAAGGTCTGCTTTGAATCGATTTCCTTAACCCCTCTATATCGGGGTAATATGAAACAGGAGGTGGAGTTCCGAATCATTACACATATTCTTTTTCTCATACGTGACCTGATGACAGACAAGTAAATAACACAAAGGAGAGATTTGAAAATTGCGAATTAGTACGGTTTCAAATGACAAGTAATTAAATGTTCTATGGGTATATGTGACAGCCTAGAAGTGCTTTGTAACAAAAAATTAGAGATTTATTCATGCGGTGTTGATGTATACCAATCCCTTGATTTAGACGCATTTCACATTCGATTCGTCAAAGGCCAGTGTTGAAATTGGAAAAACGTTTCGGACAAAGCTAGTATTTTCCATTACAGTTGCGAGAAATGAAACACGCTGTACTTGATCAATTTGTAACTAATCGTAGCATCCATAATAGTGGATGTGCTACCTTTACTTCTAATTTTCCGTCCTTCTGTCAACTGTTGTTCTAGCTTATGGGCTCTGGCGGAATGATCAAACTAATTTTCTTTAAAAAAACATACACATTGGATCTATTTTCGAAGAAGGTTGTAGTGACTCGTTCGAGTTACTCGAGGGCACACGTGCCAATAAAGTGGAGGAAGCACTTTGTTATTGAGAATGTCTAAGAAACCGAGAAAATCAAACAAACCGAAGAACCCATCGAATCAGGAAACTAAGAAAAAGAAGAAGCCGCCAACCGAAGCGGTGGCAAATGGAGAGATCAAAATAACCAAAACTATCGACAGAAAAGAAGGAACGAAAGGAAGAGCATACACAGGAAGACATGAAACCAAGACAATGTGAATTTAAAGGGACGATCAAACATTAGTACATTTTCTGTGGCTAGCACAGATACAACCCCCACATCTGCATATGCGCGATTCTGTCCAAAATCAACTCTCCTTTTTATGTCTAAGGGTACGTTTATGTTGGAGCTCTTATCGCAGCTCCAACATAAAGGTACCCTAAGAATATGTGTACCAAATTTGGTTCCAATCGGTTCAGCCTTTTAGGCGGAAATGAGAGTGCAGACAGACAAAGCGACCGAGATTTTGTTTGGTTTGGATTCCTGATGCTCTAAAACGTGTATTTCCATCAAAAGTGGGGAGTCATTTTCTACCCCAATGGAATACCTCCCTTACTAACGTAGGGGTGGCAAAAAAGAGAACCAAGGAGTTGAAATGAGATGAATCACCCTAAAGAGACTAAATGGCAACTAATGACAGACAAAATAATATACATATTATATAAATATGATGGGTAAATATATGTACTATAATGAGATTCAAAAATATAGAATAGTACCACAAAGGGAGCAAGAATGGGCTACAGATAGATCAAACAGATACGAAATATGCAGAATAAAGTAAAGATTTACCTCGATTGCCTTTTTCGTATCAGCCGGTGAATAAGTGCAGTCAAGTTGTAGTAACAAATCTACGTATACCTAGCTACTTTGTTTGTGTTTCTAGCTCGGTTAAATCTCTTCTCTGAGTTCTTAGTAACAAACAAGTTGAATGTTCCCAATTGGTAAATATCTAATTATTATGCATGAATAAACTCATCTGTAAATACCTATTTACTACTAAATGGTATAATTAGAAACACATATGTATGGTTATACATCACAATTTTCACTCTTACCAACTTAATAAAGTAATCATGAAATATGCAGTAACATAACTTGACATTTGGACGAAATTATGTAAACTTTGTATTAAGATTGTTAAAAATTTCGGGTTTCTCCCACAATTTTTTTAAATAATTCCACGATGGCATCTCGGGGGCTTAATAACGTCACTTAACCTTAAACGCAAATAAAATTCCCTGATTTTTATCAATAAAGGTAATACAAATTTGTGTCTGCAATTGGTTTTTTTCTACGTCAACTCCTGTCAAAATATCAAATTTACGTCAAACAAAATCTTTTTATGATAATTCTTAAAAATAATCGACCACTACTTTTATACACATCAAAAAAATTAAAATAATTTGACGTGGGTAGTACTCTTGTGGATCCTATTTACGCGATATTGTGATTATGCATTGAAATAAAAGGCCAATGTCCGCTGTGTTAATATTAAAGTTTGCCCGCCTATTTAAGCTTTTTTGTGTGAGTAAATGAACAGATTAATATTGTCTTTGAATTCCCTCGCCGAATTCCGTTTTGTATAATTAATTATCACATAAGACGTTGTAGAAATGTGTCACTCAAGTTTGATCGGTTTAAAAACGATTCACCGACTCGAAAATGTTCCTTCGCGTAATTCATATCGCAGACAAATAAACGACCCCGGTACGAATAAGGTCGGCAAAACGTTTTTATTCAGCCCACAATCCGCTGCAATTCGTTTACCTGCACACATATGAAATTACTAGTACTTAGCAATTTGTCACGAACCAGAGTTTGAGTAGTACTCGTTACCTAATTTCTTTTTATCCGAAATTGAACTGATAATTCTTTGCGACTATCTGGATAAAATTCTTCAATAAAATGAACATTCCAGATCTTGAAAACGCAAAACCAATCTTCCTACATAGGTATGGGAAATAAAATCTCTCGCACGCCTGCTCCTATAACTTCGCCAAAAATTCAATTTCGACGCACAAAGGGTTCGCGAATAACAACAGTAGAAAAGCCGACGCACAAACATTGTATGCGATCGCTCGCAAATTCGTCTTCGAATCTAATTGTTAACTCACAAAAATAGTACGCTTCGACTCTAGAATTCAAGCAAAAAAGAATCTTTCTCTCTTCCACCATCTTCGCGATTTGATTCTCGCCCGGTAGAAGTGCGGAACCAGACCCAATTTCTGAACGAAATAATCGCGACTCACATACCCCTTTAAATCCCTGCATTTATGTTACGTGCTCGGCTCTACACACAACAAAACGACACTTTCAGTTTCGAAGAGATCTTCGAAACGGCTCTCGCTTACCGCAATATGTTTCTTGATATGGCGCGTCATCGCCAGACATATCTTTGTACAAGTTCACTATAAAGCGGTACATGTGTAAATTTTTCCTATGCTTACCAAAATTAACCTGTACACCACTCACACACTCAGCTAGTTTTTGGGTCATCCTAGTAAGTAAGGGTGTATCGCTTCACAAGCGAAATGTTTAATCAATCTTAACGCATAAACATTTAAAGGTCGCTTGGCATACATACAAAATGTACGCTATATAATGCAAAAATAATCAAGCTCTTAGTTAGAGAAAAGTCTCCTTGTAGGTAAATATTCACAATTAAGTTTTCATACGCCAGTAGATGTGTAGACGTTCCACTTGCCCTTTATGAGTATACTCTTCAGACACAACGTTTTCAAGATGTTCGCTTTGAGGCCACCTATAGATCTGTCTCGTCCAGACGACTCATTTTGCCTTTATGAGTATTCCGACAAATTGTGTTCGAGATGTTTGCTCTTTAACATCACCAATGGATACAATTAGTACAGACGTCCCAATCGCCCTTTGTGGGCACCCTTCTACGACAATCTGCTCTTAAGATTATAACCGATCACGATAAAGGGTCGAGGTAGAAATTAATTCCTTTCATTGAAACCTTTCCTTAGAGTAACATGAAGAAAAAAACCAGTCCCCCAGCCCCCAATTTTGATAAAGAATAAGAAAGAAGAGAAAGAAGGGCGGTAGTTGGTAGCAAACAGTCCATTTAATCAGAATGCCATGAAATATAAAATCAATGTGTATCCCCCTCACCCCGTCTCCCACTAATCTCAAAAAGGAGTCGCGTAGGAAAGTAATACCAAAGACTATTCTCCTGGATAGTCTTTGGTAATACACGTAGTTTGTAGAAACTAATTCTTTTCGATAGACTTCTCATTAGAATACCACGAAGGGTAGAACTCCCCCCAAAATTTTTCTTTGCGCCACTAAAGGCATGCGTGTGTAAAATTTGAGACCAATTGATTGTCGCATTTATAAATTATGCACGATTTACTTTCAAAAACAGCATCTCAGGAAATAATTTATGCCCCCCCCCCTCCCCAAGACACCAAAATTTGATGACCTTCTGGCACATCTTCAAGGTGTAGGCTACCTATTGCAAAAAAATCCAGCAGTCGAGGGCAATTCCGCTAAGAGTAGTTCAAAAGGGCAGAAATGTGTCCGGACGGACAAAAGAAATTACCCAAAAAATTCACGGTTTTCGGGAACTAGAAAAGATATTGTGGATATTTGAGGAGAACCTAAAAATAAATGTAAAAGAACTTGCGAAGAGCGTGAAGTGATTCCAAAGAATTAACTACACAAATTTTCATTAACACCTGACATAATTCTTGGACACGAAAAGAAAACTGTGACATAAAAACTCTAACAGAGTGGCACAATGGATTCAAATAAACACAATTAGTTGATTGAAAATGACAAAAATTTATTTTGAAACAGTTGAAAAAAGTAAAACAAAATCCCTGCAAGATAGAAAAGCTCACAAAGCATGCCTGGACATATTACCCCGCACGCAAGTGGTCGCCAATTAAAATAAGAAATCGTAAAATTACATACAATATTTTCTTAATAATCCGAATAATCTGGTAGTAAGGTTTGCATTCGCTTACTTAATATATTGAAATCATTCTCATATACAGGGTGTCCCGTCACTATTTTTGGTATTTAGGCCGAAATAACGTGTACATGACGTTGTTTACGCAACAATATAAAGAACATCGTTTCTTTCCAAGTTCAGAGAAAAAACGATTTTGTAAATAAAATTTAAATGCTGGCATTTGTATTGCCTGAAAAATA